CGAGGCGGGTCCACGTCGTTCTTGCACATTGGGCCTGCAGGTGCGGTTCATCACTGACAGGGATCTGCATTTTTTGTTGTAAGTAATAGCTTGCTCATAATCCAGATGCATTGGGATTTTTCAGCTTCCTTTAGATCTAGCCGTAGCCACAGACCCTCACTTGACTTCTAGGTGCTTTGGCATTTCAGTGGAGAAATTTTCAGCCCATATATTATGTGCTTGGAGTGTTGGCGGATTTTGTTGACATGGTGCAGCTATCATATTAGAAATTCACTAGGATGTGATAACACCCTTATTATGTTATCAATGAAAAGTGTTGAGAAGTACTTGCTTTGCTCAATGGGCTGCCTGCCCTTTCCTAGGCTGTTCTGTCTGTGAAATTGATCATTGCTATTTTGTTGCAGTGTTGAGTGTTTTTCTTTACTTATTGGGTCATTTAAATTTTTGAAGTATTTATTATATTTTGTAACTGAGCCAGAACATTTGTTACATGACAAGTAAGAAAACTGTTTCTCTAGAGGCTAGTGGTATAATGTTCCCTGCCTTTCTGGTGTTCTATTCCACTCATTGAAATAAAAGGCCACTGGCAAAATTTGCAAGGATAATGATTCACAATATGTGACAATTTGTCTTGCATAGACTATGGCTCCTTTTTACTCAAAATTTGCAGGATGATAATGGTAGAATAATATTTGCACATGCTACACATCTAATAAACAGGCTCTGTAACAATGACCACCAGGGATGTCAATTTTATGAAATTATTGGGGTCTTAATAGGAGGCCCAACAACCTACCCCCTCCCCATTTTTCTCACCAGATTTGGCCCACTTTACTTTGAATGCATGCAGTACATGTTTTGAATCTGTATAATTTCCTTGATTTAAGCCTTAATTTAAGCAGAAAAGGAGCCTTTAATTTAAGCAGAATAGAAAGTCACACAGAGTTAGATCCAGGGAGCAGGCACTGGATGCACATTCTCTTCTGACACATGCATCTCCCTTCAGAGGCCACCTTAGGGTGCTGATGACACTCTTCTTTGACTGTCATAGGAGCTGGCACACACTTTGGCTGCAGGGAATGGGGGCAGGGTTAGCCATGAAGGACTTAGGTCACCCCCATATTCCAGAGCTTTTCACTTTAACATTGCAAACCATTCTGTGTCTTATGGCACTAGGTATGTGAAGTTTGCTGCATTCTTTATCCACCCAGCTGTTATGATTTGTATCTTGTTGTAGCAACTATGACTTTTTGTTATCACAGTGGTATGAGACATCACTATGCAAACAGATCAAAGAAGATAGTCTTTGCGTTATGATCATCTTTTACCCATGTTTTTGTAGTATTCCAGCCAAAAACATTGGGGAGGGCAGGCCAGTGGTGATGCAGTGACAGTGTGTAAGATATCATTTGCCTGCCAAAAACAGGAATAAACGAGTTAACAATTTGCCATTTTTCCCTCTCAAATGTTCCATATCATGGGCTATATATATATATATATATATATATATATATATATATATATATATATATATATATATATATATGGGTATATGTACATATGCTGAAAATTATCTGGACTTTATTTGCTTTTTGTGTTGATTTATGTTCTCTCTGGGCAATTGTCTCCCAAGTGAGTACTTCTGGGTGCACTGCAAAGCTTTGGTTATTGCAGATGGGTGTTTGTGTTTGTGCCCAGGTGCCCAGGTAACTTTGACTGACTGTTTTTTGTATTTTCCAGCTTGTCAGCACCTTCAAGATGCATACATTTTATCTTGCTGCCTTATTACTATGTGCTACCTGTGCATTTGGTGATGATGATGAAGTTACAAGAAAGGTAATACACACACATGCTGTTAACTTGCATTATGTGAAACTTTGCTCACCTGAATTACAAATTTATGCATGAAGAGCACATAATTTTGGTGAAAATACACTGACAGTTATGACCAGTTTTCCACTCAGGCCTAAATTGGACAGACCCCCAACCAAACGATTCCCCATTTCAGCTGCACGCTGTCTGGAACCCGGGATGCAGTGAGCAGTCTCCGCCGGACGTGTGCGCGGCCCACCGACTGCTGTACATCAACGCCTCGGCGCCGTCAGACACGCTGCACGTGTACATGGCGTTGTGGGACACGCCAGCGTGCCTTCTGCTGCGCACGCCCGGCGGAGTGACCCCGCAGATCAACTGGACTGAGTTGGTGTCAGACAATCCGGAGGGTGCCCTCATGGCCGACTCCGTGCTGGCGTCCTACGGATTCAGCATGGACCAGGCAAGGACCGAGTGGCTCTGCTCACCCTGCAAGAATGTTGGGCTCCGGTATGTTTTTACTCCAGAGATATTTGTCCTTGATGCTCCAAATGCCACCACCTTGCCAGTGAAAAAGGGCGAGCTTGCGCGGCACATGGACCAGTGCACGCACTGTATGCCATCATTTTCGTCGCCTTTCGGCATCGCCCCTGTGCCCAGCTACCTCTGTGGCACTGTTAAGGCCGGACTGAGTAGGCGGGTGGACGCCGCCGCCGCGTGGGGATCTCGCCAGAGAACGTCAGTCGGCAGCGCGCCGGCCCCATCCCCCTGATGTACTGCCCGCGCTGACCCTGGTGCCTCCTGCGGCAGCTGCTGGAGTTTGACGACCCGAAGGACACGGCCGACTGGGGCAAGGCGGCCAACCGCACGCTGTACAACATGGCCGACCTGGACTTCACGAAAGGCACGCTCACCAGCAGCAACAGCAGCTCGGAGGTGCGACTGAGCCTGCAGTCGCCGCCGCTGAACTTCTCCGGCCTTGGAAGCGCCGGCACAGTCACCATCCAGGTGGGCACCGGTGGACGGGCGGGCGAGAGACCTGTGGCGACTGTGATTACTCACTGGTGGGAGCTGATGCCGGGAGACGTGGGAGCAGGACAGACGCCTGTGATGGCGCCTGTGATGCGGTCTGTGTGGTCGGTGCCGGCCGGCGGACGCCACAGACCGACAGACCGACAGACCCACAGGCCACAGACCACAGACCACAGACCACGGACCACAGACCGCCGCCGCCGGTACGGTCGTCTGGCGCTGTGCCGCGGCGGCGGCGGCGATCGGCGCCAGCTTCACCTGACCGCCCACCGCTCCGCCCCAGCTGCTGATGCTGAACAGCGCCCGGCGCACAGACCAGCTGCCGCACCTGCTGCAGACCGGCGATTCGGTGGTGGTCGACGTCCTACTGCGCGGCCTGGAGACCAGCTCCGGCTTCGGCCATCCCAGGTGGGCACACGCCGGCGGCGCCAATCGCGGCCTAGCCCGGCTGACGTACTCGTGCCCGTGAGGGGTGTCGCGTCGAGCTGGGCCGGTGTCAGCGCGGCTGCGGCCCAGTCTCGTGCCCGTGAGGGGTGTGCCGGCGAGCTGGGCCGGTGTCAGCGCGGCTGCGGCCCAGTCTCGTGCCCGTGAGGGGTGTGCCGTCGAGCTGGGCAGGTGTCAGCACGGCTGCGGCCCAGTCTCGTGCCCGTGAGGGGTGTGCCGTCGAGCTGGGCCGGTGTCAGCGCGGCTGCGGCCCAGTCTCGTGCCCGTGAGGGGTGTGCCGTCGAGCTGGGCCGGTGTCAGCGCGGCTGCGGCCCAGTCTCGTGCCCGTGAGGGGTGTGCCGTCGAGCTGGGCAGGTGTCAGCACGGCTGCGGCCCAGTCTCGTGCCCGTGAGGGGTGTGCCGTCGAGCTGGGCAGGTGTCAGCGCGGCTGCGGCCCAGTCTCGTGCCCGTGAGGGGTGTGCCGTCGAGCTGGGCCGGTGTCAGCGCGGCTGCGGCCCAGTCTCGTGCCCGTGAGGGGTGTGCCGTCGAGCTGGGCCGGTGTCAGCGCGGCTGCGGCCCAGTCTCGTGCCCGTGAGGGGTGTGCCGTCGAGCTGGGCAGGTGTCAGCACGGCTGCGGCCCAGTCTCGTGCCCGTGAGGGGTGTGCCGTCGAGCTGGGCAGGTGTCAGCACGGCTGCGGCCCAGTCTCGTGCCCGTGAGGGGTGTGCCGTCGAGCTGGGCCGGTGTCAGCATGGCTGCGGTCCAGTCTCGTGCCCGTGAGGGGTGTGCCGTCGAGCTGGGCCGGTGTCAGCGCGGCTGCGGCCCAGTCTCGTGCCCGTGAGGGGTGTGCCGTCGAGCTGGGCCGGTGTCAGCGCGGCTGCGGCCCAGTCTCGTGCCCGTGAGGGGTGTGCCGTCGAGCTGGGCCGGTGTCAGCGCGGCTGCGGCCCAGTCTCGTGCCCGTGAGGGGTGTGCCGTCGAGCTGGGCCGGTGTCAGCGCGGCTGCGGCCCAGTCTCGTGCCCGTGAGGGTGTGCCGTCGAGCTGGGCCGGTGTCAGCGCGGCTGCGGCCCAGTCTCGTGCCCGTGAGGGTGTGCCGTCGAGCTGGGCCGGTGTCAGCGCGGCTGCGGCCCAGTCTCGTGCCCGTGAGGGGTGTGCCGTCGAGCTGGGCCGGTGTCAGCGCGGCTGCGGCCCAGTCTCGTGCCCGTGAGGGGGTGTGCCGTCGAGCTGGGCCGGTGTCAGCGCGGCTGCGGCCCAGTCTCAGTGCCCGTGAGGGGGTGCCGTCGAGCTGGGCCGGTGTCAGCGCGGCTGCGGCCCAGTCTCGTGCCCGTGAGGGGTGTGCCGTCGAGCTGGGCCGGTGTCAGCGCGGCTGCGGCCCAGTCTCGTGCCCGTGAGGGTGTGCCGTCGAGCTGGGCCGGTGTCAGCGCGGCTGCGGCCCAGTCTCGTGCCCGTGAGGGTGTGCCGTCGAGCTGGGCCGGTGTCAGCGCGGCTGCCGGCCCAGTCTCGTGCCCGTGAGGGGTGTGCCGTCGAGCTGGGCCGGTGTCAGCGCGGCTGCGGCCCAGTCTCGTGCCCGTGAGGGGTGTGCCGTCGAGCTGGGCCGGTGTCAGCGCGGCTGCGGCCAGTCTCGTGCCCGTGAGGGTGTGGGCCGTCGAGCTGGGCGGGCCGGTGTCAGCGCGGCTGCGGCCCAGTCTCGTGCCCGTGAGGGTGTGCCGTCGAGCTGGGCCGGTGTCGGCGCGGCTGCGGCCCAGTCTCGTGCCCGTGAGGGGTGTGCCGTCGAGCTGGGCCGGTGTCAGCGCGGCTGCGGCCCAGTCTCGTGCCCGTGAGGGGTGTGCCGTCGAGCTGGGCCGGTGTCAGCGCGGCTGCGGCCCAGTCTCGTGCCCGTGAGGGGGGTGCCGTCGAGCTGGGCAGGTGTCAGCATGGCTGCAGTCTTGTCGAGAATTGGCCCTGGATGTATGTTCGCTCGGCTTGGCATCACCTGTATGGGCTACCAGGGCGTCAGGCTGGGCTGCCGTGCGCTTACCGACAACGCAGTGCCTGCTTCATGTGGTTAAGACCGGTTGCAAAACGATGTTCTCTGCATTGTCGGCGGCAGCACCTAATTTTGGTTGATTAAACAATGTGTGTTGACTAAGAGAATGTTGTAAAATCTGTGCTTTAAGAATAGGAATGCCAGGGAGATCCAGGTGTGTGTACGTTCAGTGGTGCGTCAGTTTCGTCACTTGGCGTACGTGCCCCTGACATGGAGTGGGATTTGCAAATGTCTTGCCGCACGGTTACACTCGTGCTTTCGAGATGCTTTCCTGGGTTATACTCAGCAACACACGGCCTGGCTCACACACACTCGGCTTACATGCACACCCTCGACTTACATACTTGCTCACTGCCTCATCTACATGATTTAGCACATCTCACCTGCACACTTAACACCACCTGGCGTACACACAGCTGTGCTGTGCCTGACGTACACCGTGGGGCATATCTGGCATACACATTTATGCTCCACCTGATCTTCACGCTTGCACACAATCTGGCCCACGTATTTGCGCACCGCCTGGCGTACACGCACTTGCAATCCACCTGCGGCACAACACTGGCGCACCTGACGTACACACACTTACGCATCGTCTCGCGTACATGCTTCCGCATATAGTCGTAGTCACTGCCCTGTAATTTGCAAGAGGCCGCCGGCTGGAAGCAGAGCGTCAGGAAGTTTGAAACTGAAGAGGTGTTGTGCATGAAGTTTTGCAGAGTGGTCAGTGGAGCCAGTTTTTCCCTAGGAGCAGGTTGTTGAATCGGTCGTGCGGTGCCGACTCTGCAGCCTCAGTATGCCAGGCCGGTCGTTTCTAACTGCCTTTTCGACCAGGCTTGCAGCTGAATGTGAAGACAAGGCAGGCTCAGTGGACGGTTCTGCGGTGCTGGCAGGCTCGGGGTGTGTCTGACCATCCTGTGGTGCTGGCAGGTTCGGGGTGCGTCTGACCACCGCGGGAAACGAGCCCGAGAAGCTAAACCTGACCAAGAGCCTAGACGACGAGTACACGCCGGGCGTATTCAAGGTAAGGCATTCATTAGTGTGCAGATATGCGATATTTGAAGTGGAGAATGACATCATTTACGGACGTCTTCGGGTTGTCAGCGTTTTACCCTGCTCGTAATCTTGGTCTGTCATCCATTGATAGTCTTTTCGCTGACTGATATCCCTCAGGGCTTGGGGAAGGCATTGGCGTCTCCACAGCAGTCCTTTTACTGAGGCAGCTTTGACGCGCTGGTGCTCCGCCACCGCCCCTCGGGTGGGCTGAAACACGTCCCCGGTAGACAATATGTCCCGTTAGCTGCTGCGGTCGGCACGATTTCATGTACGTGATGGCGGTCCGCCATTATATATTGATCAGACTGCTGGAGCTCTTTCCGTCTGCTTCAACGTCTTGATGAGACTGGACGTTTGGAAGTTGGCAGGTTGGGGTGGGGCGGTGCAACGAATAGAATGAATTGGCATTAATACGTACCCTTGAGTGTGATCAACTCACTCCCGAACGCGCGATGCTCTCAAAAGCTTCCATCGCAGCTCAGCAGCTGCCATTAAGACGGATACCTCCCTCAAAACACGCCACACGGACATGTTCTGCGAGCGGGTCCCCGGCCGATGCTGAGCGTCGCGTCCTCCGCCGCCAGCTGTACAGCCTCGGCTCGTCGGAGGCGGCCGGCTTCGTGCAGTGGCGGCCGGTGGCGTACACGGCCGCCGAGAGCACGATCGAGCACTCGACCTCAGTGCGGCAGTACAAGCCTGACGTCGGACGACGAGCCGCCGGCCAGTCCGCTGCTGCGCGCCTTCTTCACGGACGGCCCGCTGCGACACACGCTGCCGGTGACGTTCGGCATCGCCGAGGACGGCTGGTACTCGGACGCCAAGTTCGCACAGTGGTGAGTGGGGACGCAACGGCCAGCTGCGCGGCGCCCAGTACGGATGTTGGGTGGTGAGTCACTGTCAGCCGGCCTCTCCGGCCTGTCCACGTCTCTTACGGGACCCAGGCAGTCACTGTCAGCCGGCCTCTCCGGCCTGTCCACGTCTCTTACGGGACCGAGGCAGTCACTGTCAGCCGGCCTCTCCGGCCTGTCCACGTCTCTTACGGGACCGAGGCAGTCACTGTCAGCCGGCCTCTCCGGCCTGTCCACGTCTCTTACGGGACCGAGGCAGTCACTGTCAGCCGGCCTCTCCGGCCTGTCCACGTCTCTTACGGGACCGAGGCAGTCACTGGCAGCCGGCCTCTCTGGCCTGTCCGTGCCTCTAACAAGACTGAGGCAGTCACTGTTAGCCAGCCTCTCCAGCCTGTCTGTGTCTCTGACGGGACGGGGCAGTCACTGTCAGCCGGCCTCTCTGGCCTGTCCGTGCCTCTAACAAGACTGAGGCAGTCACTGTTAGCCAGCCTCTCCAGCCTGTCTGTATCTCTGACGGGACAGGGGCAGTCACTGGCAGCCGGCCTCTCTGCCCTGTCCGTGTCTCTAACAAGACTGAGGCAGTCACTGTTAGCCAGCCTCTCCAGCCTGTCTGTGTCTCTAACGAGACTGAGGCAGTCACTGGCAGCCGGCCTCTTCAGCCTGTCCCATGTCTCTAACAAGACTGAGGCAGTCACTGGCAGCCGGCCTCTCCAGTCTGTCTGTGCCTCTAACGAGACTGAGGCAGTCACTGGCAGCCGGCCTCTTCAGCCTGTCTGTGTCTCTAACGGGACTGAGGCAGTCACTGGCAGCCGGCCTCTCCAGCCTGTCCCGTGTCTCTAACGGGACCGAGGAAGTTACTGTCAGCCGACCTCTCCGGCCTGTACGCGTCTCATACGGGACTGAGGCAGTCACTGGCAGCCGGCCTCTCCGGCCTGTCCCGTGTCTCTAACGGGGCGGGGGGCAGTCACTCTATGTATACCCACCGCTCTTTGGCGGGAAGCTGTGTGGAAAGTGGGTCTGTACAACCGGTGGCAGACTGTGAGTGTGTAATTGGTCGACGACGAGGCTTGTGTGTGACGGGTTGATGGCGGATTGGTCTCTGTGGCAGGCGAAGGACGGCTGGTGTCTGTGTGACAGGTCGGTGGCGGCTGGTTTTTCCCGGCTGGTTCGAAGACGGGTCCTCCGTATGGCGAGTCAGTATGAATAAGCACCTGTGGCGGCTGTATGGTGGTCGATCCATGTATGACGGGCGGATGACGGCAGGCCCGTGTGTGGCAGGTCGGTGACGGTCGGGTTGGGTGCGGCGCCGAAGGACCAGTTCTCGCTGATGGTGATCCTGCTGCTGGGCATCGGTCTCGGCCTGCCGACGCTGGCGCTGCTCGGCGGCGGTGTCTGGATGGGCGTCCGCCGGCTGCGCGGCCGGGCAGCCGGGCCCACCCACCTCATCGACAATGAGGGCGAGGAGTGAGCCGGCCGGCCACCGCCAGCCCCCCGCCCTCTCGCGCTGCACGGCGCTCTCGTGCTTACACACGCTGATCTGTGGGGTGGCCAGCGAACTGCGCGGTGTGATTGTCTGATTGCCGGCTCGGGCCTGGGTCTGTCTGACTGCCGGCCCGGTCCGGGTCTGTGTGCCTGCCGGCTTGGGCCTGGGTCTCTGTGACTGCCGGCTCGGGCCTGGGTCTGTCTGACTGCCGGCCTGGTCCGGGGTCTGTGTGACTGCCGACTCGGGCCGGGGTCTGTGTGCCTGCCGGCTCGGGCCTGGGTTTGTGCGACTGCCGGCTCAGGCCTGGGTCTGTGTGACTGCCGGCTCGGGCCTGGGTCTGTGTGACTGCCGGCTCGGGCCGGGGTCTGCGTGACCGTCGGCTCGGGCTGGGGTCTGTGTGACTCGGCTCGGGTCGGGGTCTGTGTGACTGCCGGCCCGGGCCTGGGCCTGTGTGACTGCCGGCTCGGGCCTGGGTCTGTGTGACTGCCGGCTCGGACCTGGGTCTGTGTGACTGTCGGCTCAGGCCTTTGTCTCTGCGACTGCCGGCTCGGGCCGGGGTCTGTGTGATTCGGGCGCTGATTTTTGCGATGTGGACAAACAAATCTGGACTCCAGACATGCCGATTTTGGCAGTTATTGGTAGGGTAATTGTTGGTCTGATTGTAGTAAAAGTGGGGCCTCTTCATCCCATGAACGAAGTATCATCGGCGCTTTCCTCAGTCTTCTGATGCACCAGGGCTTCCGACCCTCCCGCGCCGGCAGTATCGCAGAAGCGTCTCACTGGATTAAGCACTGTCAGGGTGCCTCCCGAGCAGCACGTGGCAGCGACTCGTGCAGATTTGTGCTTACTTCAGAGCTGTGATCTCCTATTGCCTGCTGTTAGAACTGGTGACATTGGAGTCCGTAGACGATGGTCCGGTCGTGTCATCAGATGTTTACAACAGTGATATTAACCGGGTGTAGTGGTACGCCTTCTGATTCTACACATTGTACTGTGTTATAGGCATGCGTTGAACAACAGACTTGAGGACTGAACTTGCAGACTTGGGTAGCAGTGAACCCAGCACGAACCTATATTTCCCTTACTGTAATGTGTTGTAAATGTGTACCGTGTATTCTTCGATTTCGGCTCTGTTAGGTCCACTGACATCCAGAGCGCGCTGTTTAGGTGCACGGAACTCGAGGCGCCCCAGCAGCTGTGCTGAACTTGGTTGGACTCCCAGCACAGTACAGTAACGTGGACCGGCACTGGCTGGCCCAAACCCAGCAGCATGCATGGACCCTGGCCCAAAAGCCTCGCCCGGAGTCCCAATGTTTTTTGTTCGAGTCCCGAGTTCACCCCTGTTACATGGCCTGAGTCCATCCATTTGCTTGGTTCGGAAGTCGGAGTCCGCAGGCTGAGTCCGATTCCGGTTCGGAACCTTAATGCTAGAGTACGAGTTTATCAGTTTCTTGCCGCATCGCACAGGATCGAGATAATCCGTCCTCCTCTACAGCGATCTGTATCGCTTTCATAACGGTATTCCCGTTGAGCAATGGCTGAAACTCTAGCCAAACGGGAGCAAAATACGAGTTTGAGTCCGCACGTGAGTTTTTTTGCGAAATGAACCAACTCCCCGGAGCCGCCCAGGATATCGTTGGTCTGGGCAACAGGCTGCATCCAGGCAGACTCGAACTCATGCCCTATGACCATGCGGAGACGACGTGAGTGGGTGCCATGAATCGTTTGGCTCAAGTCGATGCTTAAAGGAACGGCCGTTGATTCTATCTCAGCTGCCTAATTATAATATTGATATGTGTTGTACCCGTACACCTTGCACATTGCGTCGCACAATTTGTGTGTATATCCGCAGAAGGGGACCATATCCGTGCTGTAATGTATCGGAAATGCATACCTTGTATTTTGTGACGTGATTCATTACATTTATGCGACATAATATATGAGTCAGTGGTATGTATCTTTCGATGGTCAACTGATCCACCGTAGACGGACCATGTCTGACGCGGCTGTGTTCCTCCGCGGCACGCGGACGCGCGATTACCTCACCTCTCTGCGCCACCTTTTTCGGTGGGCGCGTGAGCAAACACACCATCCCATGTACACGCGTCTATTTCCTTGCATTGACTACGGTAACGGACGCCGGGCGATCTCGAGTGCGGCGGCCAGCATAAGTCTAAGGCTAGCCGGCGGCTGTTGTACGGGTGGGCACTGTCGAACCCTGCAGGGAGGCGCCCGGGCGGCGCCGTCCAGACATCGACCTCTGCTGGAGAGGCGGAGCTGGCGGCCGGCCGTCGGCCTCGCTGTCGCTGGCGGCGGATGCACGGCCGTACCACTGGCGGTGGTTGGCGCGATCCTCGCCACGCAGACTGTGCGCACTGGTGGGTAACACTCCGCCACAGAAACCGCGCCATCCGCTCGAGCTAGCGGCGATAATAAGCGCTCCACGGCTCGTTCATTATCACGAATTCGGTGATCACCGCACGGGACAGGGCGGGACGTCCACCGACCCGGAAGCTGTTCCCAGAGTTTGTTACGAATACACGGCACGGCAGCGCCAACACGGCGGCTATAACTCCTCCGAGTAGTACCGCACGCTCGTCGGCGAGATGTCCTCGATGGTGAATCCCTCGAAAGACATCTTCGAGCGGTGCCGATACTTGACGTCGCTCGGCTTCAGCATCGAGCGGTGGTTAGTAAACAGGCGCTTCGGAGTACGTATTGACTTCTGACTCAGGCCAGACTGCTCCAAAAACTTATCGTAATTGGCAGGCGGTGGTCGTTGGTCCGGCGACACGGACTCTGCGCCATCTCCCGCCCGCCGGTCGAAGCTGTTCTGCTGGTCTCTGCCGTTGTCGGCGCTGCGCTCGCTGGCAGTGTCTGAGCACGCGCTGCCCGTCAGGTCGTCGTCGAATTTGAACTCCTCGAAATTGTCTTTGATCTTGACGCCCTCGCGCTCGCTCATGATCAGGTTGATGTTTGATCGTGAGCGGGGGGCGTTGCGCGGCTTCTGTTGCTGCTCCTCCTCATCGTCTGTGTCGCCACCGGGCGCGGTATCTGCGGCCTTTTGCGTCGCTGCACTCTGTCCGGTGGGCCCTGCGGCACCTCCGGCCGCGTGCAGACGCGCGGCTGGCTCCTCGCGCGATGTCTCCAGATCCTCGGGGATGACGGAGAGCATGTGCGGCGGCGGCCGGCGCCCCCCGGCCGCCTCCAAGTCCGCGCCCAGCAGCTGGCTGATGGTGTCCACGATGGAAGGTTTGCCGCTTGCGCTGCCATCGCCGTGGGTGCTGGGTGGCAAGATGAGGCGTGGCTTGATCGGCAGCGGCGGCCGCTTGGGCTTGCGCTGCATCTCCTTGTTTTCCTTATCATGCAGCGAGAAAGTGACCGTCTTCTGTGTGGCCTTGCGCGTCTCGCGCGAGCTCTTCATGATGCCGCGCTCGGCGGTGGGCGGACTGGCGGTGTCGCTGCTTTCGCCGGTGGACGAGGCCAGCGCCGAGTCGGGCGACCCGTCTCCGACCACCTTGGCCACCTTGGGCGCCGCGCCATCGTCGGCCTCGTCGCAGTCGCTGATGCCGCTGTCGGGTTTGGTGCCGCAGCGGGCGCACGGCGCCGACAGTCGCGTCACCTTGCCGAGCAGACGCCGGTTGGCGCGCCGCAGCCGCTCCAGCTCGCGAGCCTGCTGCTGCGTCAGCTGATCGCGCTCCGCCATCTCCTGCCAGATGAGCTTCTGCTCGCGCTTCAGCTTGCTCTGCAGCACGGCCAGCTGCTGCAGGATGCGCTGGAGCTGTCTGTCCTTCTGCGCTGCCAGCCGGTCCGCCTCGGCTTGCTTCTCGCGCAGTTTGGCGGCGCAGGCGCTCACCAGCTGTCGGCTGCGCGTCTCTTGCAGCTGCAGGTGCTGGCGCGTGCGCTTGAGCGCGCGCTGCAGCTGCGCGCCGTCCGCGCCCGCCGCCTCTTCCGCCGCCTGCGGAAGGGGACGGAGCTTTAATGGACTGCCGTGACGCCATGAGCGCCGGACCGCCGGCCGGCTTACGACACCGTCAGCAAAGATACGGCTGTAACGGTCCAACAGTGGGGCCAAGGTTAACATGTTTAGTGAAATTACGACAAACCTCAAGTTGTGGCGCTAATGTCAGGTGCGTCAGAAGACAGAGCCCGTGGTGGTTGACGTGGCTGACCCGTGTCATTGTGTTTTTACTTAACTGAGTGCTTACTATTGGTATCAGTGTTGCTTTTCCGGGCAGTGTTTTATTTACTTTCTTGCCATGTCCTGTGGCGGGAACCAAGCGCTAAGCCTCCTATTGGAACGGCTCCTGATTTACTTGACATGGCTTGACTGGTCGCAAGAACAACCGCACTTTGTATGCCGGGAGGCGCATTAAAACCTGCGCGATTGAGGCGAAGAATCTTGCCGAGCGCGGAACAAAAGCTGACTTTCGTTGTAAAAGGAAGTCAGTCGTGAAAACAATAATGTGGGGGATCAGTTGTTTAGACACTACGGGGAGGGTAATTGCATTTAGCAACGGACTAAAAGCTCTTGCACCGCGAAATCATGCTGCCATGAACATAGTGGATAAGCTTCTGACTGGGCTCGGTCCGGCTACCATTACATGACCCTGTTGTTGATAAACTACTGGACGACGTAACAAGACTCGCGCGACACGTGCACATGAACCCCGACCCACTGCATGTCTCCAGCAATGGGGCGAAGCCTTCCCCACGGAGCTCTGGCCGGTCGCGCGCTTTGCTTGGAGGGCTTAGTCAGCGTAGCCGTGTTTTCAGAAGGATTGTAAGCGGATCAGAGGGATTATCATACAAAATCGTGACGTCACCGACCAAACTAACCCATGTCTCTGACGTCATGCGGCGAATCGGATTTGTTTTACAACATCAGGCACCTGCGAAGGTGAGCTTCAAGTATGAAAACGAGAAATGCGCGCAGGTCGCCCTACGCATTGGGTCAGCCAAGTGTTAGTTCTACCTGCCGGTTGTCAACGCCTCATGCGTTTGACGAGTACTTCCTCCATGCATTTTATATGTTCATCAACACGATGCATTTGCTGAGCACTCCGTCCACAGGCGCCGCCAGGGCATCGTGTGCTGTCAAACTGTAGTGGTTTCGAGTTTGCCTAGCTTTGTGGAGCTCGCATCGCCCTGCTAAAGTTTGTTCGCTGTCCATCTCGGGAAGGCTCAATGCAGGCCTCCGCACCGAGAGGCACCGTTTCATTAATCTCCCTGCACCGAAAAGGGGCCGACCAGTGCTCACGCGGCGGAGCAAAGATGGCGCCCCCCAGGAGCCGTGCGGCCGGGTTAGCAGCCGCACGGCACGGCGCGGCTCCACAGCCGACCGGGCAACCGCCACGGGCCTACACCCGGGCACAACCGGCCGGCGGCCGCCCCGCTGCAGACTAAGTGGGACAACGGCGCGTCGCGTTCTGCTGGAATGGTTCTGCGAAGCCAGTAAACACCGGGCGGGTGTCAGACAGCGTTCGCGATCCACTGGGAGGTGGCCTCCGGTCGTCGTAAAGTGCTGTCCGTGCGGGCTCGGAAGAGCGCTCTGCAATCCGAATGAGTTTTTATGGAGCGCTACTAGTCTAGAAATAACTAGCGAAAGGCGGTAGAAAGCGTAGGCTTAATCACTGTACGATGGCCATTCCAGAAGTACACACCTCTTGAATTTACTCCCAATGTTCTGCGTATATCATACATCACGGGAAAGACTTCTTTTCTTGTGACTTGGAAGTGTTACCTTTTCCTCCTAAATCCACGAGCAGGAGAGTGCTAAATGCTGGGATTTAACAACGCATCACCGGCTTCGGCCATGCCCCGCTCTCCAGATTGGTGATCAGGACTCCCAATTTCCCGTGGATTGCTGGCGGTCATCGGGCACCGTAGCATTAAGTACCATGCTTGATTTTCAGCTTCTTGATGTTTGGAGTCACGGAGAAAGTGCGAGGTAAGGTGTTAGCGCCGCCTTTGTGTGGGTCTTTTACTCGATTGATAACCGTGACTGATAATGCATTGTTCAGCCAGTAGAGTAGTGCATCAAATAATTGTACGTACTAGCTATAATTCCCTACTTCTGTGCATCAAGCTAGGCTTAAGTACTTGATTAATGCCGTGAGACCCTTGTTGAACTTCAGACAACGTTATCAGTTTCATCCAATAGCGAAGAACACTGGCGGGCGCGTTACCCAATGGGCCAGTTGGCCCCCTGACTGGCCGGGGCCGACCGGCGGTAACGGGACACCGGCCGGCCGTGCCGCCGAATCAGCGCTGCCCATCATGATGCCCATTGCCGGCAGGCCATAGGGAGCAGGTATCCGGCTCGGCAGGGCCCTGGTTGCTGGACACGGAGCCGGTGTCAGGGGCATGGAGCCGGTGTCAAGGGCACGGAGCTAGTGTCAACGGCATGTAGCCGGTGTCAAGGGGACGGATCCGGTGTCGAGGACATGGAGCCGGTGTCAAGGGCACGGGGCCAGTGTCAAGGGCATGGAACCAGTGTCAAGAGCACGGGGTCAGCGTCAAAGGCACGGCGCCGGTGTCAAGGGCATGGAGCAGGTGTCAAGGGAACGGAGCCGGTGCTGATGGCACGGAGCCGGTGTCGGGGACACGGAGTCGGTGACAAGGGCGCGCTGCCTCCGCTGACGCAGCAGGCGCGGCCAACCAGGCAGCAGCAGCATTCATAAAGATATTCGATGAAATACGCGGCGGGATGCAAAACGCAACATCATGGACATGGTGTTAAGTGTTCGCTTTTGAAGAAAATTGCCATGCCATCACAGCCTGCTGTAGACGGGCTCCAAGAAGCGGACATCATATGGGTTAGGGAGTGGGGCCAAAATCGTCGGCTTATTGAAGGCTACAGTTTTCTATAAAACGATCTCAGTTCACGGATATACTCACGTAGAGACAATCAGGAATAGATAATGAAACGATGCAAGCAAATGCGCTTGAACATCACACGTAAGGTGTTGCTTAACATGCGTCCGGGTGGTTGCAAACGACCCTTGGGTGCGGTTAATTTGACCTTTGAGATCTAAAAAGGCCTAGAATCTAGATAAAAAGGTCAAGACCAGATCAGATGTGATCTAGATCAGGAGAGAGTTGAAATCACTCAAATCACAGGACCGATGGGTCCGTATGTGAAATCACAAAACTTGAGGATGCTAGATCATAACATTCCGATCAAAGTAGTCAAACAAGGTCAAACTCCTGGTCGGTGTAGAAGTTTCCCGGACTTCCTCACGCAACCATCTTTAACATAGATACGTATACTAACCAAAGATCAAGCGATGTTTGTTTCAGACCAGTGAATTACATGACTTTATGAAAGTTACGGTGACAAAAACCTGCGAGATTGTTTTTTTTTAAATCAAATAAGCCCCAAAGAATACGCTAGGCGGTATGGTCCAAAGAATAAAAGGTTGCGTCATCCTAGGTCAGTGACCTAGGTCTCATGACCTGTGACGAAATTCTGGACCTCTTATTAACGTCAGATATGCATTTAGTAAGTTTTCTGTGATCGAGGAATTCGAAATGAGCGTCGAATCCTGCTGTAAAGAGCAATGTTTCCAGTAAAAATCAACTTGATCTTGACATCGACCTGACTTTCATATCTTATCTAATGTCAACGAAAGTAGCCGCAGCCTAACTTCAATCGTCTATTTTGCAAAGAAACCGTCCCAAACATGTATGACTTAGTCTCATACTCCACTGTCGTATCAGATTGAACAATTCCCTGGGAATCAACTTCGCTTACAGCCACTGATTGACCTTCGCCTGCCGTAGGTCAGGGACCTTACAAGGTGCATCATTTTTTTGATGCCTAAATACCGGCTATTCCATTGACTACGGCCATGCAAAGTGTAGCGCGAATGTGCTGCACCGTTCAGAAGTTATTTTGGAACAGAATTGTCGGTGCTCAAAGTCCCCATCCCCGCCCGAGCGCGTGTTGAACGAAGATGCTGTCGCCGTTCACAACTTCTTGCGCCACAGTCTCCACTCCTAGATGCACTTCGTAGCTTTATTTTCCTAAACGAGCTACCTGGGTTTGGGTGTTAGAACGCACGAGACGACCCCGACGCAGATCTAAGCCGGTGGCCCTCGGACGGCAAAATATGATTGCAGCGGCACGTCTTCTGGCCATTTGGGGTGCATTTGCATGTGACCTGCTGAATCATCGCTTCCACTCCATGCCGTGGGGCTACGCTGTGGAGCGCTGCTGGGGCCCATTGTTGGGGACACGGCTGTAGCCGCGCCTGGAACGCCGCACAGGTTAGTGTGTTACACCGATAATTACTGAAATGACCTGCAGCTGTCCTCCGTGGCGGTACAGGCCAGAGGTCATTGCGGTGGTGGTCAGGCTCGTGCCCCCGAGGTCACTGAGAGGGGCAGCCCATGATAGATTGCTTGTCGGTAGAAAAGGCACTCATTGGCATTCTGATTCTGCGTAAGACCGATGTTTCAAAACCGAACACGCGAAGTGGCAGCGCTGGCCTTACCGGTCTCGCCGCCTCTCTTGTAAAGACGCCGTCCAAATTGTTCGGTGATCGATCGCGCCAGAATAACGTCCATTAACGTCGGCGTCGTTTAGAGTTGCGCCACCTGGCAGCCGCTGGAGGCGTGCGGGTCAACTCCGCTCCCGCCTCCAGCCTGACCCGCTCCCGGCGGCGGGTCCACCCCGGCGCCCGCCTTCAGCCTGACCCGCTCTCGGCGGCGGGTCTGCCCCGGCGCCCGCCTCCAGCCTGACCGACTGCCGGCAGCGGCTGCAGCCCGCTCCCGCCGCCGCCGCCGCCGCCGCCGCCGCCACCGCCGGCGGCCAGTTCACCAGTACCCCATCGCGGAGAGCGCGGCCGAAACCGGCTCCGGAGTCCGCCGGCCCACCTGTCGGCGGCCGGCAACGGTCGGCACCCGGCAGGGGGAGGGGGCGCTGACAGCAACGGCACGGGTCGCTGCCGCGCC